ATAAACTCTTACAGATACTTTAGGACTCAGCTACGAGAGAGTGTTATGAGAGAGAAAATATATAGATACTAGAGAAACTATTGGGAAGGAAAATAAAAATGGGATTTATTTGAATAAGGCGTGGGTGAACCTTTTGACTCGTGGGCCACAGTTGATCCTTAAAATTTGGAGTGCTCTTAGTTTGTGCGAACTAAGATAAATGACATCTAAAAGTCATGCCTGAAGGCTAAAATGATCAAATGCTTTTAGCGTTCTCTACGTCATCGAAAGGGAAAATGTGGGCATTGCCGGAAAAAGGCAGAGGTATAATTACAACATATACCATATACACATATATGGTATATGTGTATATGTTACATATATGTGTATATGTATATGTATATATATGTATGTATATGTATATATGTATATATGTATATATGTATATGTGTATATGTGTATATGTGTATATGTGTATATGTGTATATGTGTATATGTGTATATGTTACATATGGAATTGGATTTATTTGAATAAAGACCTATTCCAGTTCCTATGATGTGACCTTCAAAGCCTACTTCCTGTCTGTCTGCAGGAACAAAGTTCTGGATATCTCTTCTGGTTTGGACCAGCCTGGACACCTGAAGTGGGAGCTGGTGTTGTGTTTAATTTTTGTATGGCTCATTGTTTATTTCTGTGTCTGGAAAGGAGTCAAAACCACTGGGAAGGTAATAGAAACGGTGTTTCGTTTCATGTCAAAGTCAGTCATTTTGTTTTTGTTGCTCAACTTGTCTCAACGTCTCCTCTGGACAACTTTTTGGCTTTTTTTTGCCAGATCGTCTACATCACAGCCATATTCCCTTACCTCGTACTGATCATCCTGCTGATCCGAGGTGTCACTCTTCCTGGAGCCTATGATGGTATAATGTACTACATCAGCCCTGATTGGTCCAAACTGGCCCACGCTCAGGTCAGGACTTTACTGTGGACTGTGGCTCATGGAATAACTTCAACAACCACCTTATAAACATGGATGGTTTACAAATTGCACAGGTTGCACCTCTGACCTGTGACCTCTCTGCAGGTGTGGATCGATGCGGGAACGCAGATTTTCTTCTCCTACGCCATCGGCCTTGGAGCTCTGACGGCTCTGGGCAGCTACAACCGCTTCGACAACGACTGTCACAGGTCTTGGTTGTTCTTAATTATGTAATGTCAGAAGATAAAGAAGATTGATCAGATTTTTCCTCTGACAATGAGCACCCGATAACGCAATTCCGGGGTTTCGCCCAGATGATGTGACCTAAAATTTAACGTGAGAGTGAAAATACTATCTCTATTGTGCACAGTAACGTCATTGTAACCCAGCAAACCATAACGAAAATGGTCCTCTGCTTTTAATATATAGCAAATAGCTGCATATAACAGTATCGGTTGATAGTGGCATCGGAAATTTGGAGAATCTTGGCGAGTCTTTCTATAACGAAAACGCACTTACTCGTCATTATTTGATGTTACTATTATGTTATTATTTCAGAGACGCCTTCATCATTGCCGTCATAAACAGTGGAACCAGTTTCTTTGCTGGTTTCGTAGTTTTTTCCATTCTGGGCTTCATGGCTGCCGAGCAGGGAGTCGACATTTCCCTGGTGGCGGAATCAGGTAGCGCACGCAAAGACACACGCTGGTACGCAGTTTAGACTTGTTGTTGTTAGTTGTTTCCTTCCTACCTGCTGGTTGTCTGTTCCAGGTCCTGGTCTGGCGTTCATTGCGTATCCAAAGGCGGTCACTCTGCTGCCTTTGTCGCCGCTGTGGGCGGTGCTCTTCTTCTTCATGCTGCTGCTGCTGGGCCTCGACAGTCAGGTGACGATCAGATGTCCATGATGTCATCTGTTATTGTTTAAAAACAAAAAAAATGAAATGCCAAATGTTTTTTTCCCAGTCACGTTGCAAGTAAAAGTGAAGGACTGCTAAGCTAGGCTAAGCTAAACATCTTAGATTTGATTTAAGTTTAAGCTGGTTTTATCTTGAAGAACTCCAGTTGAATTCTTGAAATTCAGTGGGTCCCAAACTTTCTCTGCTGGCACCCCCTTTTGGTTCATAAGACGTTTTCCACACCCGCATACATATATATTTTTAATACGTGCTTAAATCCAACTGTTTTTACGCACATTCAACTTGACCATTTTATGCTAGCATTGCCAACTTTAGTCAGTTGGATTCTTGGCTAACCGTTCGTGTATCCTCTCTGTCTTCCTCTCCAGTTTGTGGGTGTCGAGGGATTTGTATCTGGAATTCTGGATCTGTGTCCGAACAAATATTTGCATCCGTATCAGAGAGAGATCGCTGTGGGAATCTGCTGTTCACTATGTTTCGTCATCGCCCTCCCAATGGTCACACAGGTAAAAACACACTCAGCTGGGTTTAAATAAATACATCGGGAATTTTGTTCCGTTTCTAAACTAGATGACAGCTTTAAAAAAAGTGTTCGTTTACAGGGAGGGATGTACGTCTTCCAGCTGTTCGATTACTACTCAGCCAGTGGAATCACTTTGCTGTGGCAGGCGTTCCGGGAATGTGTGGTGGTGGCTTGGGTCTATGGTATGTAAAAATGAAAAAAAAAAACACACCCTTTCCCCCCTTCTGGTACCCTCCTAATATTTTCGGTTTTAATTCCAGATTAAACCTACATTCGTTTCATTTGTGCACATGCTTGTTAGGGTAGTGTATGCCATTACGACAGGTATGGTAAACTAACAGGACGCCAGACAAAACATTCTGTTCCAACCGTAAATGTTAGAGCCAGAACAAGAAAGTCCAGAAAAGAGTTTCATGAGTGAAACTGGACCCACAGGCGTGGGTGAACCTTTTGACTCGTGGGCCACAATTGGTCCTAAAATTTGGAGTGCTCTTAGTTTGTGTGACCTAAGATAAATGACATCTAAAAGTCATGCCTGAAGGCTAAAATGATCAAATGCTTTTAGCGTTCTCTACGTCATCGAAAGGGAAAATGTGGGCATTGCCGGAAAAAGGCAGAGGTATAATTACAACATATACCATATACACATATATGGTATATGTGTATATGTTACATATATGTGTATATGTATATGTATATATATGTATGTATATGTATATATGTATATATGTATATGTATATGTGTATATGTGTATATGTGTATATATGTATATATTTATATGTGTATATGTGTATATGTGTATATGTATGTGTATATATGTATATATGTATATGTGTATATGTGTATATATGTATATATGTATATATGTATGTGTATATGTGTATATATGTATATATGTATATATGTATGTGTATATGTGTATATATGTATATATGTATATATGTATGTGTATATGTGTATATATGTATATATGTATATATGTATGTGTATATGTGTATATATGTATATATGTATATATGTATGTGTATATGTGTATATATGTATATATGTATATATGTATAT